CTCATATCTATAGGCGACGATTACCACTTTCCATGAGGTGGGCCGTCAGCTTGGTTGCCATTCTAAGTTAAATGTCAAGTTAGTCTATATATATATATATATATATATATATATATATATATATATATATATTGTATGTGATATTACATAATGTAAATTTCCGTGTGGTCCCAGCATAGAATAGGCCACCACTTCCTTTACCATAGGTGTCGTTAGAGGCGACTAAGGGAACTTAATGGTCGAGGGATTAGCAACAGTGTCTCTTTTAAAACATTACCAAAGTCTAACTGCGGTTGCCAAACCGCCTGCCAAGCGTGACAACTAATGGCAAAACTTCTGTTGTGGAGAAGGCCTATATTCAGTAGTGGCCAGTTAACGGCTGATGGGAGTCCTCGGGAATAGCAACGCGTGGTGGGTATCAGAGGCGAAACAGTATACTCTGTTATGTCCATGGTACAGCTCATGTCTATAGGCGACGGTTACCACTTTCTATCAGGTGTACCATCAGCTTGTTTGCCATTCTAAGTTGCATTAAAAAAATACGTAACGAGTACATCATCGCCATTGTCATTGTACTGTCATCGTTGCTTAATCATTTATTTTTCCACCCATTTTAATAAAAATTATCACAAAAGAATACCCATAATGCTGTGCCTATGTACACAAGCGTTCCATTACTTTTTACATTAAAGCTACGGAACCCTTAAATAACAAAGGAATGTAATGAAACAGAAAGAAACTGTGGGTTTATTCTTTCATTTATCTCTTAAGTTGCACAATTTATAAACTCCAGCGGAAACACAAATCATAAGAGATTTCCGCTCCTCCCCCGACTTAGGCCAAGGGCCAAGCTCGAGAAAGTTACTATTACGCCAACAAGAAAAATGCCCCCTCTCGCTTGTAGCGGAAACGTCATTTGTAACACTAATAGTTCGTGTATTTTTCGATTTCGCTCCGTTCAAAACGGAGTGCGTTCTTTGTCCAGCTGTCCGCTTGACGGATGTAATAACCACGGATTGTTTTGCTAGTTTCATTTTTGCGGGCACTTCGTCTCTTGTAGTATAATGGGAGTAACTTATATCAAGTTTCTAGTTTTGGTTTCTATCTTGATCACAATGTTGTGTCCATTTGTGAGAATGAGAGCGTGGGATTTTTGAGAAATGTATAGAATATTTTAGTATATCTTTTTTCAAAGGTACAAAACAGACTTTGTGGTTGCATGGCTGTGTTTCGGTTTGAAGGGTGGAATATGGTAGTGAATTTATAGGGTTCAGAGGAATGGTAACGCATGGGGGGTATCATGGGCGAAATAGTATACTGTGTTATGTCCATGATATATATATATATATATATATATATATATATATATATATATATATATATATATATATAATGCTCATGTCTGTAAACGACGGTTATCACTTTCCATCAGGTGGGCCATCAGCGTGTTTGCCATTCTAATTTGCTTTGTTTTTCTTTGCATGCTACTTTGTACGCATGGATTTCAGAAGTAAAAAAATTTATAAAAGAAATAACTGCTGGATAGGATAAGATAGAACATATACCAGATTTGGAATTAGACCTTTAGGAATATTACTGTGAAAACAGCATCCAATTTGGTGCAGTACTATTAGCGTAATGCCAGAACAAATCTCCCATAAAATTATTATATAATAATGAACACATGACAGGGAGGGACGAAATGACAGGAACATGGTCTGGAATGAGGAAATTCGACGGAGAACTAATGTGGTTGACATAGCTCTTAGTTTGTTAGCTGATTACTCTTCTCCATCCAAAAGTTGACTGGAAGAGATCACTCTTGCCGATAAGAAATGTCACATATTAGACAATAACTGGCTCAGCTGATGCTGTGAGTGTCCCTGTGCAATGTGAACAGCTGCACAGCGCTGGTTTTCAGCCAGTCGCTCTCTTAACATATTAGATATACTTCAGTTAGTAAGAAAACATAGAACGTATCTCGTAAAATAGAATTTCCGCTAACACTGCGAGTGTTAGTAAGTAGGTATTGAAAACCGACGTTCAACACCTGAATCCGGAAATATTCATATAATTTGACAATACAAAAATCAACTCTGTCAATTCGTAGAATACTCTGCGCGTTTCATTGTATTTTTCCATTTGAATGGTTTAGTCGGAAAAAGTACGCGCCGCTCGCAACGTGAAAATGGAATGGCGAGATACACTACGTGACTTTGTATCCTAGAATTTTTCTCAGTCTGATTATATTTTCTTTTTTTTTTTTTACATATTACACGATACCTTTGTTAATATTAAGGTTTAGATGTTTTTGTTGATTAGATAGTGAAAGAACAATATATTTATTTAATACTTAACTCTACAATACGTAATAATGAAAAAAAAAATTAAGAATCAAAAAGAAAATGAGAAGCACTAAAATAAATATGACGAGATGGAATTATAATTTCAGATTTGTACAAGATGTTAGGATATGGCAGAGAAACTATGTATAAAGTACAGAGGTATAAACTCAGTACTCACAAATAGCTTTAAAATATTTTAAATTAGTACTTAGGAATAGCATTACAGTGAATTAAACACAGAACTCAGGAATATCATTACAGTCTATTAAACTTAAAACTCAAGAATAGGATTACAGTGTATTAAACTCAGTACTCAGGAATAGCATTACTGTGTATAAAACTCAGAACTTAGGAATAGCATTGTAGTCTATTAAACTTTGAACTCAGGAATAGCATTATAGTCTATTAAACTTAGAACTCAGGAATAGCGTTAAAGTGTATTAAACTCAGTACCCATAAATAGTATTACAATGTAATTTTTAACTTTAAATTTCACAGTACCACTTCTATGTCTGACTAAAGACAGAGTTCATTGCACCACAAGTAAGCTGTCAGTCATTTTCAATTCTATCATATTCTTAAGAGTTCGTACAAAAAATTACCAAAGTGTGGCAACGTTAGAGCTATCCATCAATTATCAATAACAATTGTACAATTTACAATATGTCTGTTTGATTATTATTTTAAACTAATCTAATAGTGAACTAAAACATTAATCATAAAAACAAATAAACACAAACCTATCACTAAAAATTTTGCATCTACTTCAACTTTGCTTTGACAATTTTCAAATTTTTATTTTAATTAAATTTTTTTGTGATGAACTATCACGATAAGATTCTTTTTGCATTATTAACAGTTTAATTAACTAATATAGCATTTTTTATAATCAATCAAAGATATCATTTAAAAAAAATGATAAATGACAATGAATTATTTAAAAAATTTGACAATTTTAGAGTTATTTGTAGCACTTCGGGACGCTCAAAAATACACACATACCTACTTTTAAACAAATATTCAAGTCTCGATTCTAAATTCAAATATTTTTAACTTTTTTTTATGCAACTTACAATGACAAACACGCTGACGGCCAACCTGATGGAAAGTGGTAACCGTCGCCTATAGACATGAGCAGTATCATGAACATAATAGAGTATACTATTTCGCATTTCGCACATGATACCCCCATGCGTTGCCATTCCTGAGGACTCAGGTGTTATTCCTCTGTACCCTGTAAATTCACTGCCATATCCCACCGTTCAAACCGAAACACAGCCATGCAAACACAACTGCTTCACGGTAGAAACAATTTAACGCAACGAAACAAACTCGCCATTCATCGGTAGGTACATTTTATTATTATAAACAGCGATTTATATCATAAAAACAGGCACATTTTCTGCGAACCAAAATGTGTGTGTTTTTATGTTTACTATTCTGAATTGTATAAAAAATTGTCAGTGAGAGAAAAAAAAATGTTAGAAAAGCGATAGATGTGTAACAGGCATAAAATATGCGTGCCATACAATATCCCGGAATTCTGTTAAACGGCACAAAAGAGACGCAATATGTCATAGAATTATTTATTAAATGTACATTTTACTGTATTTTGTATTTCCTCTTATTATTACACCTATTGTGAACGTTTGCGATTTTCTGACGTTGCAAGTAAATAAAAAAATATCATCGGCGTTGGTGAAAAAGTGAATAATACAATTTTTGTGGTTGCGAGATACATATTTATAGCTTTTTTTTCGTTTTCACGTTTTCGTGTATACTAGTAAACGGGTGCTGCCTGTAGGGACTGGTCTGCTCCGGTCATTAAAATTGAGTTATTTTATTACCATATACTGCGTAGTAGTTTGTATTTCATACGAATTCATTATTTATAAAGTTAAATTTTTTGAACAAAGCAACAGCTGAGTTTTTGTCCGTTGTTCTTGGCTATAATTACGTTACGAATAAATGGTTATTAAAAAAAATGACTGTTCACAAATGCTGAAATCTAAGTTAATTTGAATAAAAATAATTCTTTCTTTCTTTTCTTCTTTCTTTCTTTTTCAACCTGTTTAATAATTATTATTAAAACAATTTTTCTGACGATCTTTATAAAAAATATGTTCCAATAAAAATAATTTCCAATTATTAAACGAGGAAAATAATAGTAAATTGGGATTTGAAACCGTAAAAGTAATTATTATTTTGTATATTCCGCTTCACTTTAACTTATGGTTTCCATAAAAGGACATTTCATTATTTCAATTTCACTTGTACAATTGAATATATAATAATTGTAGCATTGAACGTAATGAATAATTTAGTTATTCCTTTTAGAGTGCAGCAAACCCTCGAGAGTGGAACGTTTCGTTTCAGTTGATCACATTAATGCACCATATTGTCCTTATGTTCTCAAAATGGGTTGACGTCAGGCAGGTGGCCGGTCGTAAAACTAAAAACCAAATCTTTTTGTAATATGGATAAAATCATATTATGCCGACAAACAATAAGTGGGATAAGGGTAGGAAGATGATGATTGTCCTTATGTTCTCAGACTCAAGATGGTGATGGATATATATATATATATATATATATATATATATATATATATGTACTAAATAAACAAATATTAAATCTTATATAATAGCTGCTCACCTCCTCTGAGTTCGCAGAGTAGCGTGAAGTTACCACCCTCCTCTAATGGTCCCACCACGCCGGCGACGTCGCGTCCTGCCTCGTCGTACAACAGCAGCTGATGTGGTGGCACTGAACCAAAGAATATATTTATTGCACTTTACTGACGATTAAACTCCAAACACACTACAGGCACAAGACGTAAGGTTCTTGAGTGGTGACCCCGTACGAGCAAAGGTAGTATAGGATAACCTCCAGTAAACGAAGTGACGACCTCAAATGCATTACAGGAAGTCATTGGATGCAGGTGGATTTCAACTGAGAAGAACAAGCAAGAAACACAGCTGTTACTTTTTTTTTAAATAAAAAGTTTACAACCAAAACTATGAATGGATAATATGAGTGTCACAAATTTCTAATCGGTATCATGGGCGAAACAGTATACTCTGTTATGTCCATGGTACTGCTCATGTCTATAGGCGACGGTTACCACTTTCCATCAGGTGGGCCGTCAGCTTGTTTGCCATTTTAAGTTGTATAAAAAAAAATTTCGTATCGATAAAAAGAAAAACATATTTGTACAGGATCAACTGAAAAATAAACACCGGATTTAAAAATTATTTCACCTATAGGAAGCTACGTTATCAGCAAGTAAATTAGACTATTTACTGTTTTCGAAAAATTTACCTACCCCGTGCGAAACCGAACCGGACTGTTAGTTAGAAACAAAACTGCAGTCATAAGCAAAAATTGATGATCTTCATAGCACAGCGCTTCGCATAATGCAGTTCCGGGATCGATTCCCAGACAGGCCATTTTAGGAAACAGACTTTTCTAAATTAACACTCGTCTAGGTAGTCTGTGTTGTGCTCGCAGATGCTTAGGTCCTCATCGCTCAGGTTATTCAAGCGTGAGAAGTAGGCGATTACTGAGATTCGATGACATTTAAATGTGAATGTGAAAAAGACTCTATTTTCGCGCTTAGCCTCTAATTAGGGCCGTTGTGCGTATGAGTCGTGGCTAGTACAGCCAACCTAGCTCCGCCCAGAAGCGCAGAAGCTTCCCGGGTTCTTCACAGGCCTCACGGAGCGACCTCACCGTTCCGAGGATTTCTAAACGTTGATGGGCCACAGCCTCACATTCCAGGATTACGTGAGCAGCCGTTTCTTCGGCGTCGAAACAGCCTCGACTTAGAGGGCTGTCTGTGGCTCCTATTGTGTATAAATATTTGTTTAATGGACAATGGCCGGTTATTGTCCCTATCATTATTTTGACGTTTTTCTATCTAGATTCGATGACATTTATTATTATTACTATCTCTTGATATTGCTCTTGTTTCGAGAGTACCAGTACGTAGAAACTTAGTTACTGTCAAAATACATGCTTGCGGTCATCTACAGCGCACAGTTTAGTAGTTTGTTAATTTAATATTAGTTACACATTTAACTCAACACGTAATATGGAGATTAAATTACATTTTCCGGCATCAAAAATTAACTTTCTTAATTTGATTTCATATTTTTTTTTGTACTGAATGTCAAGCGATATAGTGTCCGTTTGTACTCGTATATTGATGTAAATAATTAGTTTTTTTTATAAGCAGAATTTGAAGTATAATATTATAAGATTTATTCCATAAATTGATTTTTATATTAAGAAATTTATAATATTTTTAGTGTATTAATTTATTAATTTTAATTAGTGTATTAATTTTATCATAAATAAACACTTCACGAAGAAAAGAATAGTTTTAAAAATTTGTTAATGTTACGCTAAATCTGTTTTGGTAAAATCTATGAAATTAGTAAAAAAAAAATATTTTTTAAGACATACCACGGTATACAGAATGACTTTATTAATAATTTCTGTTTTAAGTAATTTATTTCTTTATAATTTTTTTATAAGTATGTTTGTTTATAGGTAACTTGTAGGTACAAAATGTATATTTTAAGAATGTGAATAATATAAATTTTGGAAAAAATAAAAATAATTAATATTTTATTTCATATTTATTCATATAAAAAAATATAAATAGTATGTTTTCATTTTCCATGGCAACGCTTAAACATATTACGTCGAACTCACCTACAACATTGAGACGTATTTGAAAATTCCTTGTAGGCGAGTTCTTAAAATCGACCCGGCATCTGTAAATGCCCTCATCGTCCAGCTGCACGGCGTCGACAGTGAGGGCCGAAGGTCGAGACATGGTGACGAAGTATGCCCGTCTGCCGAACGCCAGCGGATCGGACCAGTGGAGAGCTTTGTTGAAACTGCGACCGCGAACGTCGAAACTGTTGACAAGGAAATAAAATACTTAAGATTGTCAAAGAAATAAAATAATTAAGATTGTCAGAGAAATAAAATAATTAAGATTGTCAGAGAAATAAAATAATTAAGATTGTCAGAGAAATAAAATAATTAAGATTGTATTTCACAAAAACACTAATTTCAAAACCTGTGTTGTAAACTTATCAAAAGTCTAACTGTTATTGCCAACCCGACTGCCAAGCGTGGCAACTACTAGCAACCCCTTCCCTTTTTTTAGGATAGGTCAATGTTCAGTATGTTGTATAAAAAAAATTTAAAAGACCACTCTTATGACGGTATATGAAGATAAAACTTACACTAGTTTTTAAATCAGACCTTCAAGAACACAACTGTGGAAACCGTTACCAGTTTACCAGAGGGAGACTTTGTACAAAAGTCGATTGCTTGGGTACCTCTGTCGCATTCGTGTTTCAACCGTAAAGCAGTTGTGTTTGCATGGCTGTGTTTTGGTTTGAAGGGTGGGTTATGGCGTGAATTTACTGGGTACGAAGGAATAACACCTGAGTCCTCAGAAATGGCAACGCATGGGGAGTATCATGGGCGAAACAGTATATTCTGTTATGTCCATGGTATTGCTCATGTCTATAGGCGACGGTTACCACTTTCCATCAGGTGGGCCGTCAGCTTATTGACCATTTTAACTTGTATAAAAAAAAACCGTATTCAATTTGGTGCAGTAGTTTTTGCGTGATTCCAAAACAAACACACAGATAGACAGATATAAATTTTTAAAATTATTATTTTGGCTTATATAGCTTTCATCATATAGATTGTTCTTAAATATCTCCCACGTACAGATATCGTTTAATTGCAATTTTGTTATATTAGTAAAATAAGGTCATGGTTAGGTTCATGCGTCATCTATCTTTATAAAAGTCAATGGTTTGCTCTCTCTAGAATGCGTTAGTTTTCCCATTACTCATCCAACCTACTAACACGATGAAGACGTTAAGGCGATTTTCCACAACACCGCACAGCAATTAAGACTAGGTACGATTAAATCGCACGTTTACATATAGATATAGTATGTATATATTGTATATATGTATATATATATATACATATATAGATATTGCACTTCAGTTTGTGAGATTGGTTTGAAACTATCGTATAGTGCTTTAGACTAAAGGACTGGCTTTGTACAACCATTAGGCAAATGCGAAGTTCCTATATTGTTTACTAGATTCTGTCTTGATGGCGTTTATAGTGCAGCGGTTACGCTGCCTCGCCAGTAGGTTGCAGGTTCAATTCTTACCTAATTTTTATTCACAAGTATGCTAGTCTTTTCAGTAAATATATATCCTTCTCCGTCCCAAATACTACATCTGCATAGAATTTTAAAACAGTTGGTTGAGTAATTAAAGTACCAAGGGGTTATAAACAAATATAGAAAAAAAAACCTCATAATTTAAAAACACTAAAAAAAACTAAAACTATATCACCATCATCATTATATCAGGTCTTAATCGTTTACTGCTGAACATAAACCTTCCCTTTGGGAGGTTTTATTAGTAGTTGCCATGTTAGGCGGGCGGATTGGCAACCGCAGTTAGGCTTTAGAGATGTTTTAAGAAAGTCACTTCTGTCCATCCCTCGCCTTCTCTTAGTCGCCTCTTAGGACATCCACGGGAAAGGAAGGGATGGCCTATGCTATGCCAGAACTACACGGTACCATATAATAAAATAAATTCAGTTTTATATAGATTCATGTTTGTGTCAAATAATAAAGAGCATTTATTTAAGTCTTCAATATTTACTCAAAGCAAATTCTATTTCTAGAATCATATAGTTTAAAATACAGTTTAGACAAGTATGTCGATACATAAATAATACAATATATTAATATTTAAAAAAAATACTAAAAAGAAAATATTGCGACCCATCTATACTGCAACGTACGAAAGAAGTATTTAAAAATTCCTTATCTACAAAGCGGAATCCTTCACATTTGTCAAACGAAACGGGGATAAAGCTCGCACACACGATTGCTTTCGTTAACAACCCGACAAGGGTTTGCTTACACTGACATACACAAAGGGTAACACTGTTAAGGGTAAAAAAAATGGATAATATACGCCCCAAGGCACAAATGCAGGCATGTACACAAAAGTACAATATGAGAAGTCAGTCACAGAATTAGTTAATTATAAACACAGTTTGTTAGAAATGAAATTCGTCATAAATGGCGTTAGTCACCAACGCACGCAATTCGTCACAAAATGTGTTCGTCATAAACATAGTTTGTCATAAACATAATTTCTTACAAATGCAATCCGTCCCAAACTGTGTTCGTCACCAATAGGCTTTTCATAAACGGTTTCGTCACAAATGCAGTTCGTCACAGACGCATTTCGTCATAAACTCAGTTTGTTACAAACTCATTACATCACTCATTGCATAAACAAAGAGCGAATAGATACGTAGATCTAATTCGTACATCTAACAGAGGGAATTGCATCTTTCATCCTCGAACAAATCTGCGGTACAGAACTAGTTTATAATATTAGCAAGATGTGAGGGTTTAAAAATATGTATGGGTAATTGGATATTTGTTACCAACGCTTAATGACTAAATATGATATTTAATATACAGACATATCATATACTAGATTAAAATATAGTATATTTTTATCCAATTAGCATAAAAGTAAAAAAAAACTTAATTCTCGCAGGCAGACCAAATCTATTACGTATCATGTGATAATTGAATTATATTGAAACCAGCTGTATCATGTGGCTTTTTTCACTTAAACTACTTCATAATGTATCCTATGTATTTAGTTAGAATACCTGCCTATATACCAAATTTTATTGAAAACCGTTCAGTAGTTTTTGCGAGAAAGATTGACCGACATCCATTCATACAAACATCTTCACAAAACACTTATAATAGTAGTAGGATAGACACATAAAAGTGTCTAATTTAATGAAGTGTCAATGAAACTAATCTTTGATTAATTTATGGACCAGAATTTTGAACGCGTATTTATAGTACCTAACTATAAAATATTATATCTATCTATCTATATGCTCGCGGCAACAGTCAAAATTGAGTTACGTGATCCGAGCTAAATGTACCTAGTATTCAGCAATTTACTGGATTTAATAACGATTTCAAATATGTATTCTATTTCCTGATCAGCACAATTTAACTCGTGATTCGTCGTCCTGCGGTTTTCTGACCTTCACTCGTGACATTCGAAACAATTAATAAATAAACTTAATGTGTACATTTTGGACCACAAAGGGACCTTAATCATGCACACATATGCGAGCGTGTGCGGGTGTACGCACCCGCACACATACACACACACACACAAACAAACGCACGCACACATATACACACACGCACGCACACGCACGCACACGCGTGAGAGAGAGAGTGGTGAACGTAGAGTTGTCGCAATTTATGTTGAAAATATTTTATTTAGAATTCAAAATTTCCATATCTAAATAGATTCTACTACGCAACAAGCAATTTCTTGTTCCAAAACGACAAACAGTAACTAACTGCTAGTAAACTTTACTGATCGCAAAAATCCCTTCAAAAGTGTCATTACAACCGCGAAAAATCGCCACAGAAAAATACATATGCCTATTCCGGGAACTGAACCTGCAACCTATATTTGCAATAGCTGACCACCGCACTTTATCCGTCCAATATCCGGTGAGCGCCGTTCGTCGCGGCTCGTTAGCGCCACAGCTGTAAATAAGCTCTACGACACGCCCGATTTGCAATAATCCTCTAAACCTGCTTACGGGTATAATGCGGGCTGATCAATAGCGGAGTTTATATGGAGAAGAATTGATTGAGCCGGTACATTTTTCGCCACCAAAAGTGTCTACAATCGTGAAAACATTCCAATATTGAAGATATTTGAATTTGGAACAAACGGAAACACATATCTACAGCGTGTAAATAAAAATTTTGCGGCAAACAGTTTTTGTTTTGCAGAAAACAGCAAGTGTCTCAGGAGCGTTCCTTATAGCAGTCTATGGAGGAGGTACATGCTCAGCAGTGGACTTATAACTGCTGAGATGACGATGATGAAAAATAGCAGTTTCGACCGTTATAAAATCAATTTGAGATAAAGAAAGTGTAATTTTTCATGTAATTATTTGTATCTAGAGTAAGTTTTGCTGTGTGGTCCCGGTATAGAATAGGCTTTTTTCATAAGTTTCGTAAGAGGCGACTAAGGGAACTTCATGGTTGAGGAATAGGCAACAACGTCCTCTAAAAACATCACCAAAAGTCTTATTGCAAGCAATTCGCTTGCCAAGCGTGGCAACTACTGGCAAAACTTACCTGATGATGGAGAAGACCTATGTACAACAGTGGACAGGTAACAGCTGATATAATAAAATTAATAAAGAGAAAAATAAGCTTATTATTGTAATCTATTGCAGAAAACAATAAAGATTATCTATGTATCTACCTATCTGTCAACACCAGAGGGAGACTTTGTACAAAAGTCGTTTGCTTGGGTACCACTGTCCTATTCGTGTTTCAACCGTAAAGCAGTTGTGTTTGCATGGCTGTGTTTCGGTTTGAAGGGTGGGATATGGCGTGAATTTACAGGGTACAGAGGAATAACACCTGAGTCCTCAGGAATGGCAACACATGGGCGAAACAGTATACTCTGTTATGTCCATGGTACTGCTAATGTCTATAGGCGACGGTTACCACTTTCTATCAGGTGGGCCGTCAGCTTGTTTGCCATTCTAAGTTGTAGAAAAATAAATCAGAATTAATTTTACTGATTGCAAGAACATTGTCCAAAAAAAGATTCAAAATTAGTGATGTATGCTTCGCCGTTCATAGCAGCTCGTTAGCGACACAACTATAAATATTTTACGACACACTCGACGTGCGATAATTTTCTAAAGCTATATACAGACAGATACCTGTTTTTTTTGTAGGTGAAAATGGAATGCTATCCCCGCCTGCGCTAACGATATACAC